AAGGGGAAGAGCAAGGGGATCCTAAAACAAGTCATTTTGGACTAACGAGACCAAATTAGACGAAACTAACTCTGCTGCATGTTACTCCTCGCGCGTGACTGCATTAACAACATGCAAATTTTGCATCTCTTCGTCTCCTATGCGCTTTGCAGTTACAACTTTCGAGACACAGCTCGCCCAGACGCATGCAGCAGTCGCTTGTCACTTCGCCGCTCGCCGTTTTTTCCACACTGCCATGCCATACCTTGTCGTCTATGACTTATAAGCAGTGTTTTAAATATCTGGCTAAGACATTTATCGGGTGACCTCTAAAACAGCTAATATTAGAGTTATAGCAGCTAAGTTGTACATAAATACAAATAGCTTGATCTACCTCAAATAGCTATAGCGAGCTATTGCAGCAGCTATATCCGGAGATTTAAAACCTTCTTATAAGGGCAGTCCAATAATCGACTTTTGATCTAGCTTTAAAGTCATCACCGCTAAAGAGGCCACCTGGCTGTATGGCGTGTCATGGGTGAGGAACATCGGCCCTAACCTCAGGCCCTACGACTACAAAAGGGAGGCTGAGGACGAGGATGAGCACTTGTCCAATGGCAGCCCTGGCTCTGGCAGTGACAAGAAGGAGAGGTCAAATAGTGAGCCCAGCATGCTGGATGACCTCGCCGTGGCGGCCAGGGCCGGGGGCGGCATAGAGACGCTGAAGCCCGCACTGAGGCGGATTTACATGACTCGGCCACGTACACCAACACGCACTGGCGGAACCAGGGGGGACCAGCAGGGACGTGGCCCCCCAAGCACAGTGATTTTTAAAAAATACCTATAGAAAATTCAATTGCATAGCTAAAAAAATTATTATTTCACTCTATTTTGATGATAAATATTATGCTTTTTCATTATGAGTACTAAATATATGTGTAAAACATTGGAAAACTATTAAAACATATTTTTTTTACATACTAGTTATATGCCCGTGTGTTGCACTGGGACCATAATTTTTTGGTCTGATTACTCGAACGTAGAGGTATTACTTCCGAGGACTTCATATTAGACGCGGACACAAAGATCCAATCTTCGTCTTGAAAATGGATAAGATGCGGATGCGTGAGCTCTGAGTAAAGGATGGTTTGTATACATGAGCAGGATCGAGATTTGGTATCACTGGGTAGATGATAACTTTAGTGTCTTTTTAGATATAGAGATTTAGCATGTTTACGAGGTATCATCGTATTGTTCGGTCTCCCTTATTAAAAAATTCTGGTTCCGCCACAGCGCCAACGTGATGAGGAGTTTCATGGAGACGTACAAGGAGGGGCTCAGGGATCAGCTGCAGGACAAGGCTGATGGTGAAGAAGGTGGCAGTGGTCGTCGTCAGCCGCAGGAGCAGGGCGACGATGAGGTATCCAAGCCACCTGAGCCTCCAGCCATGCTGCATGCCATCAGGGCCGGCGGCCGTGCAAGCCGTGCGTTCATAGAGGACCCCAAATTCTAAGAGGCCCTAAAAATTATGGCGCATTAAACCCTGCTGACTTTCAGATTACTTCTGATGTTGCATCTCTTCCTATATCGCGCTACCTGAATCGATCTACGTTGATCTGTCTCCCTGGCTTCCCCGTGTCTCCCGTCTTCATGATCAAGCAAGCCGGCGCATGGCATCCATCTACAGCAATCCGTCTCCCCGGCTCTCCCATCTAGGCTTCACTATCTCTCCATCTCCGTGATCAAGCAAGCTGCAAGCCAGATGGAGGTCTGGAGGCCAGCGCCCAGGTGTAGGTCACAAGGGGTAAATTCCTGATTCCTAAAGACCTAAACTCGTGGAAGGTAATTATCTAATTGACTAATTATCTTATATTTATCGATACAAATATTTCTTTATGTTAATGAATAATTACTCGTTGCTATAAGTAGATGAATAACTGTTGTATTGCGCAAAACGGTTGATGGTGCATACACTCACATCCGATAAAAAGCACAAATTACTACTCTCTTTTTTTTACGAGGATCACAAATTACTACTCAACAAGTGAAAACAAATCTTTTTATTTCAATTCTGTTAAATAATTTAAAGAACACTAAGAGAATGATATTGTGTTCAAATAAAAATTACGCAATCACAAAATAAATAGGTATGATTTTTTATTTATCGCATTGCTATATATGCATATATCATTTTATTTTTTAAGGTCAGTAGGGTCTCTTTTAGAGTTTGGAACAAGGCCTCGAATTTTGAGGACACGGCCCTGCATGCCATGGCACACAGCGCCGCCGCCCTGTCTGACGTCAGGGCACGCGAGCACACTACTGTGGCCGCCCAAGCCACGTATCGGAGGAAGTGGAAAAGGAGGGCGGCGGCGCTAGAGGAGGATGATGTGGGGCTAGCCAGCGGTGGAGTCGGATTCATTAGGCGCGGAAGGATGACGAACGAGCTGGTAGTGAAGCGTAGATGAGAAACCATGGGCGTGGGATGGATTCACGGAGAAGAAGGCGTACATCTCATTGGCTTGTGGGCCTGGACGGATCGAGGTGTTCACGGTGTTGGAGGGCAACATGACGGGATGCTATTTCCGGTTAACGTTCACGGTTTTTGATGGTACATCACCTAACGGAGTTCTTTTGATGGCATTTTCCGAGTCTTGCAGTCTTTCGATGCTATAGTATAGAACCATTTTTCCCATAATTATATTTGCATTATATATACATCAAATTACTCACATTCCGCTGTGTGCCAAAAGGACTATCCTTTTCGTAGGTTTTATCTCTTTGTAAGTATTTTCCACCCATCTTATGATGTCTAAGCATTTTCTCAAGCGGTCAATCTTATTATGATCGTGCTTTAACTTTTGCCTTTTTTAAGTGAAATGCGAGCCCTTACCCTCGTATTACAACAAGTCACCAAGGTGACATACTTGCAACAAAATTAGTTCGCTCGAGGAAGAAAGCAGCTGCCGGAGCGGACAATCGAGGAAGAATGGATGCTCGAGAAGAACGCAGCTGTCGGAGTGGACCAAGAGTAGTCGCGCGAATACGCTCACCAAAAACTTGATCGCCCGCCTACCTGTGCAAGTGCGCTAGCGGACGGAGATTCGGAGGCCTGCTCACCTAAGCCCCTCGTGCACGCAAGGGGCTCAGGCTGGAGAACGCAGAGAGCAGCACAAGAGCAAGAATACAGCAGACAATGAGAAGGATGAAGTGCTGGCTTCTGGTGGTCGGGAGAAGGGGCGCTGCTTAGCTTTTTATAGGAGTCTCGGACGATCGTGGAATGCACCGGTCCCAGACGATCGTGGAATGATCCGGTCCCCCAACTCTTCTTCTCATCTTCTCAGTGAGTGTACCATGTAGTACTAATTTCACTCCCACTTAGCACTTATTATGGGCCTTTGAAATTTCTTTGACTAATTGCTAGACTAACCATAGGCCAAGCCTCATTATTCCAACATAAGGGACCCTTGCCCTGCGACCAGGTCTCAGAGAAATGCTTGAGAGAAGTTGGACAGAACTTCCCGTTAAAGACTTCCATCAAAATCCCCCAAATCATCCTAGCTAATAAGCATCTAAGGAACATACGGTCCACAGATTCTAATTTACCGCACAGACAACATTTCTCACTCCCCTTCCAACCCCTCTTAATAAGGCTTTGAGAAACTTGCAGCTTATTTATTAAAAACCTGTGAAAGGAAGAATTTGATCTTTAAAGAGATTTTACATTTCCACATGAACCCAACCACTCTACTGGTCATCCCACCATTTGTTGAAAACCCGTTCGGCTTGCTGAATCTTGGCTGAAATTGACTGAAAAACACTGTTCTGGCTGAAATGTTACGAGAGAAAAACACTGTTCCGGTTGAAAAAAAAACCCCGAACAAGTCAGATTTAAGATAAGCCGAACGGGAAGGGACTTAGTAGACAAATGACCCCTTTTTTTTAAAAAAAAACTAGACAGGAGCTATGTTTCTCAATTAAGAAAAGAAAGAGATTTATGTATAGAAAGGCTGATGGCCTAGAACGCTCCAGAGGGCACAAGGTACATAAAAGAACGACAAATGACCCTTTTTTCTCTAAACCCCAGAGGACAATAATATCAGGAGTATCAATCTCCAAAGAAATGTTGTAGAGCTCGATCTCCCTGTAGCTCCTTCCATCTCTCAAAACTCTCTTACTGAGAGAGACCTCCTGAACTCAACATATCACTCCCCCTCCACCCAAAATTCAGCTACCACACGCTCATTGTCCCTTACCATTTTGAATAAGTCATCATAAGCAGGGGGTGTTCAGCTGGTATGGTTGTGGAGGAATTTGGATGGTTTGGAGGAATTCTAGAGGAATTTGTGAGAGGAAAACATTGTTCCGGATGAAAAAAGAAACGGATCAAGCCGGATTTAAGGGCGTGCGAACCGGGCCGCAGTCTTAAGGGGAACGTTTTGGAGCCAGCAGTCTTGCCAGAACGGAAAAAGTCTACGTTGCCTCCCTCAACTTTCGTAAAAGTCCGTTTTTTCTCCCTGAACTCTAAAATCGGGCAAAACACTTCCGTCAACTTTTAAAACCGCTCATCTTAACTCGCTGGCCCGGTTATAAGTGGTTTTGATAGCGGTTTTGTCTTTTTTTTTTATTTATTTCGGCTGAATCTTTGAAAAATCATAGTAAATCATAGAAAAATCATAAAATAAAAAATCTAATTTTATTGGACTCCACATGAGTAGATCTACACAGTGAATATATATAATATGATACGCTTTAATACAAAGTTTTTGCTGTAGCTTTAGATCTATGCTTTTCTGTAATTAAATGGAATAATTCATAACTGTTTTTCTATGGTCCAATTGTGATGAAATTTTTATGGTGAACTAATTATTATATACTTAAACTTTACTAAAAATTACATACTCATTGGATCACGTATAACTTAGTTCATCGTGTGCGCGTCCCAGCGGCCAGCGGGCATCAAAATCTACGTGCACGTCTCGACGGTGCACCTGCCTTGGGCAGTCGGCCAGGCCTTCGCGATGGCCGAGCCCAACGTTCTGCCGGCGCTCGTGCTGTCTAGGTTCCAGCTCAGCCTGTCGCCCGCCTACGTGCACCTCAGGCTCAGGGTGGAGAGTGGAGACGGAGCACGGCAGTTCGTTCTGTGGGCGAGCTGGACCTCGTTCGTTTCTTCCACGTTGGGTTGGGCCCCATTGGATCGGAAATTTCGGCCCAATCGTTAATAGTCGTCTGGCTCCAATCGTTAATAGTCGTCTGGTTCACAGGTCACGAGCTCACGACGATTACATAATCAGGTAAGTAGGCTGCTTGGTGTGGGTTTTTCGTATGTTTCAGACTTATGTTGCAAAAGTGGATCTGGATGTTGCATATGTTGCTATGGCTATACACACGTATTTCGAGAGCATGTTTCAGCTGTTTCAATTTGTATGTTGCAAATGTTTTCATTTGTATGTTTTAAAAGTAGATCGGGCGTTGCACATGTTGTGTCTGTATTTGGCAACCGGGCGGACGAAGCCTGCCGCAGCCCGCCGGTGTCTGCTACCGTGGTGCCACCATGGTTCATGTCGCGGGCGGCGTGGGATGGGCACAGCAGAGCCTGGTGCTGCTGCGGGGGCGCCGCCGTGGTTCACGTGCGGGCGTAGGGCACGGTTCTAGATGCTGGCGCGTGATGCGAGCGGGCGCGAGGCGTGGGATGCGATGCGGGCGAGCGTCGGGTGCAGGCACGGAGCTCTGTCCGGGACGGACGCTGCCTCCGGAGCAAGATTTGGCACGGGAAAAAGGGAGTTGCATACGTCAGACGCGGGTGTGTGAGCTGCGTCCGGACGGACGCCGTGTTCCGGACGTCCGGGCGCTAGTCGTCCCGTTGCACATACCAGTCCGTCTAATTCCTCCACTAACCAAGGAGTTCGTGGCACTTTCAATTAGTCATTGTAATCAAAGCTGTAATTCAGTTGCCCACGAGTTAGCTAGGCTGAGCTTTACTAGAGAAAAGCTCTCAGATTTGGGCAGATGTAAACGATGTATCCACTTCGATGAATCAATAAGTTTGCTGAAAGTTCAGAAAAAAAACACCAATCAGTCCCGCTTATTAGCAGCCTCCACTCCACCACCACGCACCCATTCTCCCCTCCCCATCCCTCCCTAAAACCCCACTGCGCCAATCACAGCTTCCTTCGAGCCGGAGGCGCAACCCAACCTACGGCTCCAAATCAGGCTGAGATTATCCCGACGACGGTTTGTAGCGGCGGCGGCGTGGGGCTGGTCTGGGTCTCGCTGCCGGGCGCCGGGAGGGCTCCGACGACGGTTCGTAGCGGCGGCGGCGTGGGGCTGGTCCGGGTCTCGCTGCCGGGCGCCGGAAGGGCCCCGACGACGGTTCGTAGCGGCGGCGGCGTGGGGCTGGTCCGGGTCTCGCTGCCGGGCGCCGGGAGGGCTCGGACGACGGTTCGTAGCGGCGGCGGCGTGGGGCTGGTCCGGGTCTCGCTGCTGGGCGCCGGGAGGACGGTGGGCAGGTTTCCGCCGTCCCGCGCCAAGTTCGCCAAGCCCGCCGAGCAGGGGCCGCCAGGCCACCTCAAAGGTGCCGCCTTGGCAGGCCTCCTCACCTGCTACAAGCCAGCCACCGGTGCTGCCTTGTGCTACGTCTCCAACAACCCGTCTCCCTCCTCCCTCAACGATCCCTGCTCCCTCAAGATGCGTCCCTCCACCAAAAGCTTGATGTTGTTCTTGACCAGATCAATCAGCTTCATAAAAAACTGTAAGTTTCATTTCTTCAAACAATGACGGGGTGATTTCTGGGTAACGAATTAAAAAAATTATACTTTTGCATGCTTGACAGGGATATGATGGGCATGAAGCGACTTCTTTGGAGGATCATGTCTGCCGTCGTTTCAATTTTCTGTGTTTTGCTCATCACTGCCATACTTTACATCGTCGCAGATGGCAGAGCTTATCTGGAGGCCGAGCTGAACAAACTGGCCAAGACCATGTTTTTCAGCTTCACCAATGATGATAAGGTCAAAGAGAGTCTGCATAAGCTCATCGAGGAGGGAGTTGATACTACTTTTTACCATATCGCCTCGCTTAAGACGTGGTATAGATGGTTACGAGGGAAGTGATGTACACCAGAGACTCAATAAGGTACATCATCCGATTCACGTCACAGCCACGTCTTTGTGTTTTTTCCATTGCACTAACTCAATGTGCGATCCACTAAGTGGACGCTTTTTTTGCCTATATGTGGAACGCAAATTTGGGAACAACATGGTGATTGAGGGAACATGAGGCAATGAAACTACACTGATCTTTGATCTTTCAGAGTTTTATAATATCATAGTCGTGATGATATGATAGTCTGTATACCCAATTGCATATGTTTCAGTATCCTATAACAGTATTAGATCTTAGCGGAGCACTGTTGTGCTGAGAAGGGGGAATGTGCATAGCAATCTCCATTGTGCTGTCAGAACTCCATGCTTGGAAGTGTAGGTAGGAGTATCACTGTTTGCAGCCCAATAAAGTGCCACCACGATTGTTGGGGCACAAGCACAATGCTTTTGATCTTCACATTAACAATGTACCTATTTCTCCGCATTGAATTAAAAATCTCTATTTGCAGCAGAGCATTTAAAAAAAAACTCTACTAACAGTATTAAAAATGCCTATGTAAGTCAAATCTGCATAAATATGTCTATACACATCAATTAGGACCTCATTTGAGGAAGAAAGGTGAATAATACATATATACATATACCATCTGAAGTGTATTGATGGCTTGATGCTAAGCATGGCCATTCAAGCTTTTGAAGCAATATTTACAAATATGCAATAATTTGCAATTGGATTTTAGCATGCAGTCCAATAAAAATTACCAGTTTGAATGAAATGCTATCTTTGCAAGGAGATGGACATTAAAGAGTAGTAACTCAAGCCTCCTGAGTCCTCGCCATTGCTAGAAATAGCAAATTCATGTTGGGATAGAGTTATGTGGATGGTCTCTCAGAAAAGACTGCAGACAGGTTACAATCTGAGCAGGAAGGAATGGAGGGGCAGCAAACTTTGCTGTCTATGCAGGGAAGTAGAGAACGAAGATCACATTTTCTTTAACTGCCATACCGCTAGAAGTATTTGGTTTTGTTTTAAGGAGGCTTTGGGGTGGGATAGAGTTCCAACTAGTATGGACGATATACTAGATAACTGGATTCCTCTAGGCTGCCGAGATTATCATATAAAGATGTTCATCTTTGCTACCATTTTATGGGGTTTATGGAATATTCGAAATAAAATGGGGATAGAACATAAGTTTCCAAGGGGTTCTAATGAATTTTTTCTCAAAATTTTCTCCTTTTTACAGAGGTGGCGCGTTCTGTTGAAACACCAGGATGCCAAATTTTTGGATGATCAGATGAAGACCATGAAAAGCTGGCTACAGGAGTTTTGGAGATAATTTGATCGTGGAGGGTGTCTTGTAGTATTGCTTTAGTCTTTAGGCCCTGTTCGCTTTACTGGAAAGTCATGGCTGAAAGTATTGTTCGCTGATTTATTGTGAGAGGAAAACACTGTTCGTGTGCTGAAATAACACGGCTCATGAGACAAACGAACATGACCTTTGCCTCTTACTTAGTTGGTTGGTCAGGCTCTTTTGTTTTCGTTGACTTAACTCGTTCTGCTGCTCTAGGTGTGCTCTCTTTTAGTATGTTTGGTTCTTTCATTCATGTAAGCTGGAATCCCCAGCAGATGTCTAAAACTCTGTACTGTTTTTTTTGGGAGCTTTTATAAAAGCCGGGTTTACCCTTGTTAAAAAAAAAGCAAATTCATGTTGGGTGGAATCAGAGCAAACACCTTGAGGGCATGTAGGAAGACAGAAGGCTGGTGGAATTCACAGGTTTAGGCAACAATTAGGCAAGCATTAAAGAACCACATCAAATGGGAGTTGGAGGTAGACTCGTGCTCAGCAGCTTAACGACTTGCTGATCCTGGAATCGTCACCACCAACAACAGTGCCGCAGAAACCACTGCAATGATGCTGCTACGATGTTCTCCACGCCGAGGACGGGGGGAGGGTTTTCGTGGAGGTGAGAAGATATACTGGAAGGTTGAAGTGGCAGATCCGCCGCCGGCGACGAGAAGAAGCCCGATGCGACCAGGTGGTCCGGCTAGTTCCGCGGCAGGGGGGCAGGGGGAGTAGAGGAAGGCAACTGATGGTGACGCGGTGAAGAGGGTCAGGGACGGCAGATACGATGCCAGCACAGCAGACCTGCCACGCGGCCTCTATTTGTAGAAGACACTTTCAGCCGGAGAGCCGCCGGATAGACGCGGACTCTTTCCCCGGTAAGAATTTGTAGTTATTATTATTCAACGAGACACCGATAAAATAGGACTGTCTTTTCCCTATTGGACGAGCACCCGTGTGTGTTATTAGTTTATACAACTTTATATATATTGATAATATTATATTATATAATGCAGAGGAAAATACAAGATTATATATATCCCTGATATGCTACAGCCAGGCAACTGAAATGAAAACCCAGCCGTGTTGGAATAGAGCCAAGCATTTTTTTTCTCGAATACGCAAGAGCATTGCGTATCATTGTATTAAGAAGGTAGAAGTTTGAAATACAATAGAGACCGTTTCCGGCCGGACGGTTACCTCAAAGGGACTATATTTTGACTATGACAACCTTGGAATCCACTGGGATCAACCTAGACTACGATCTAGCTAAAGTACCAGACCGCGCTGCTCCACCAGCCATCGTCCTAGATGCTGGGAACAGCGCATCAAGTGCCTCGACGTTTACTTCTGATAGGGTGTCCTGGAAGTACGAATCGTACGAACGCTTGGCTACAGAGGAAATCGGTGCTGAAGGTGCCAGGATCCCCATCTTCTTCATGAGCAACACTTCGTCATGTTTGGACGCCGGGATATGGTCCATCTGTTGAGCAGCAATCCGTCTGCTCCTAATGGACAGAGTAGTCCGCTTTGGTGCTGGCTTCTGCTTAGGCGGGGAGCTGATGAGAGGTGGCTGTCTCATTACCTGGACCTCCTCAACGAACCTGGACAGTCGCTTGGCGGCCTCCCTCGGTGTGAGTGTGCCCTCAGCGGTCAGCTCGTCGTTTGCCTGAACAACGCCCGTTGCCGTGCCATCGGCCGCCTCAGCTTGCGGTCCGACATCCATGCACAGAGCCGAAAGCACAGCCGTGGTGTGTGCCTTCGATGGTGAGGATGGTGGGACCTCCGTCCCCTCCTGGTCGCCAGATGCGCGGGCATGATCAGCCTATCTCGCCGTGGTTGGCGCTGCATCACTGGTCGCCTCGTGCCTCAGGGACGGACGACCGTCCTTGCCGTTGCCTGGGACGGCGGAGGGAGTGGTTGTTGCGCCGCGGGGACCGCTGAGCAGCCCTGTCTCCAGAACCATCTGATCTGAGGCCGGCTGCCCTCCAGCGATCGCCTCGCCAAGGGAGGTTGGGTCTTGCTCAAATCTGGGTGGTACCACTGAAAGTTGGAGCAGGTCAGAACCACATCCAATGCAGAAGGTAGACAATGGTTGACAGGTTTGATGAGGGATTTGGAGAAATGGACGAGAGCTCACGACGCCGGTGGATGGAGGTACGAGTTTCAGTGCAGCAACATGGCGGAGTCATTCAATAAGTTGCTATTGGGGATACGTGGTATGCCCGTGAATGCAATCGTTCAATTCACCTTCTATAAGCTTGTTGCCTGGTTCAACGATAGACACGCCTATGCATTGCAGTTGCAGAGTGATGGAGAGATATGGGCTCCGAAACCAAAGGCACACCTAGAGAAGGCAAGAGAAAGGGCTGGCACACATGAGGTTACATGCTTTGACCATGCCACAGGGACTTATCAGGTCAAGCATAGGGATGGTACAACGTCCGACGGTGAGGTCCGAGAGTCGAGGATCCATGTGGTTGTCCTCCAAGATTTCAAATGCACTTGTGGTAAACCAAGACAGTACCACTTTCTATGTTCTCATTTGGTGGCAGCAGTTAGGCATCGCAACTATAATATCGAGAGGAGGATACCTCACGAGTTCAGTGTCGACACGCTTGTGCACACATGGAGCCCCCGCTTCGTGCCTTTCCGGGACCCTGGAGAGTGGCCTCCATATGATGGGCCGAAGTACATTGTAGATCCAGCTTACCGTTGGAACAAGCGTGGATCAAGGCAGAGGACGAGGCACATGATGGTTATGGATCAGATACCTGGAAGAACGAGGCGTGGGAGAGGAACTCCATTTGTTACTGACCCTGAGCAGTACGAGTGCGGCAAGTGCAGTAGACTTGGCCATAATTCACGAAGTTGCCATTGGGCGATTAGTGAGGTGCGACTATTGGTTGATTTTATTATTTTATAATTATAGTATTCATTTAATTAATTATGCATGTCTCAATTTATGCTTGTATTTGTGTCAATTACTTATACATTTCTAAGTTCATGTTTTATTGTATATTGAAATTCTAATTCATTCACTTTTTTTGTAGGATGGCGCAATTCCACCTGCTCGACCCGACGTACGAGGTGACCCACCGAGGACGTCTCATAGCGCTGGGGCAGATAATAATCTATACGTTTTGTTCATATTTTGGTGAGCGTACATGTGTTAGTGAAGTAACAGGAGACTATGTTTTATTCGATGCAGGACCTTCCGCTCCTTCGTCCTAGAACCCACAGTGGGTTCTTGGACATGCGGTACGACGACATGTACACTCCTTTCCTTTAAAGAGCTAGCCTGGATGTCATCTCTTTTCAGGTTCGTCGTGGGTTGCCCAAGTTCAACTCTGCGGCCATAACTTCATTGGTTGACAGGTATTAAATTAAATCATTGCCTCCATTCATGGCCATTTGTTTATGCGCTTGACTTTTTGACATGTAATCTTGCTTTGTCTAAAATATAGGTGGCGGCCGGAGACTCACAGCTTCCACCTACCTTTTGGAGAGATGACAGTCACGCTACAGGACTGTCAGAAGATGCTAGGCCTAAGGATTCACGGCAATCCAGTCACCGGGCAGTGCAGGTCAGAGGGCTGGAGACAACGAGTGGAGGCCTTCCTTGGGCGTGAGCTTGGCGAGCAAGGGGCTCGCACTTCTGGAGTT